CACTCACACACACACACAGCCCAATGGCAGTTGCTTTACTAGTTTATTACTAACATTCCCACCAGCTGAAGCAGCGCCAGACTCTCTCTCTCTCACACACTCTCTCCCTCAGCGCCTCTCTCTCTCTCTCTCTCTCTCCACCACCACCATTACCCTCTGTGCCCACAGACACGAGCCTGTCCCCCCCCCCCTCCTCTGGCCCCACACGCTGGTTTTAAAACCGTCCCCATCGCCCCCCTCCCGCCGTTTCTCCGGTTAATCAGCGCGTGGTGGGGGGGTCGCGGACCGCCGGGCAGGTGGACTGGAGCGGCTGCCGGTGTCTAGCGGGCGGATGACGGCGGATTGCACGCGGACACTTACTGCCTCAGCGGCTGAAACGCAAGATGGCGGGAGAGCGAGAGAGAATGGCTCCTGGCGCCGGCGAGAGGGGCTCAGCTTCCGGGTCACCCGGTGACCTCTCCCGCTCCCGCCCCCGAGCCGTTCATTGGTCCGCAGCCTGTGATTGACAGATGGCTCCACCCCCGCACGCACACGTGGTTTGATGACAATAATCCTTATGTTTGACACAGCGCCTCATCACGTGGTGTTGGACTCTCAAAGCGCTTCACAGAATACACTGTAAAGTCAATTGGTTGTGTATTTTGTGGGTGAAACGCAACAGCCAATTGTGAGCAGCAGTGTCCCACAGACAGTCGTGGATTAAGTGACTAATTTACTATTTGAAGGGATTATTACCACCGGAAAGCGATCCGCCAATCAACTAACAACCTCCTTTACTGCTGCGTAAACAGAGGCAGGTGTGTGGAGTCAGGAAACTTGCGCCCTCCTGGGCACCCAACTCTGGCCATCTCACTTGCAAGGCGAGTGCTGTAACCACTGAGCTACAGGACGTCACTATAATAATAATAATAATCCTTGCATTTGATAGAGTGCCTTATCCCATCTTTGAGACATCACAAAGTGAATTGACTGTATATTTTGTGGGCAATACATATATGCATTAATAATAATCATACAGTATACATTCATAAATGTATTATATAATCATTGCTATTTTCCAGGAATCAATAATAATAATATTCAGAGAGTTTGTTTAAACTCTCTGAGAATCTATGTGAATGGTGCTATATAAATGGAATTTTGTATTGTATCATCAGAATAATCATTCTTGCATTTGATATGGCCATTTATCAGGTCATCGAGACATCTCAGTGAGTTGCTTTTATGTAGTGCCATTTTGTTTTAAGCATTCACCTGAACAGACAGATGGAGTCCTGTAGCTCAGTGGTTAGCTTTGCAAGCGAGACACCAGGTTCAATTCCAGGCAGAGGGCGAAACCTCGGGCAAGTTTCCTTACTCCACACAGAGCCTAATAATAATCCCTCCAAAAAAACAACAAGAAATTGGTCATTTTCAATCCACGACTTTTGTGGGACACTGCTGTGCGCAATTGGCTGCCGCGTTTCACCCACAAATATACAGTCAATTCACTTTACAGTATATTCTGTGAAGCGCTTTGAGACGTCGAGAAGCTGTGAAAAGCGCTATATCAAATGCAAGGATTGTTATTATTATTGGGACCTCAGTTTAACGTCTGAATGTCAGCCCCTCCTTCCAGCTCTCCTCCCATTGGAGTGACTGGCCACTGGCCCAAGGTGGGATTTGAACATCCAACCTTCTGGGCCAAAAGAAGCAGCAGTGCTATCAACTGAGCTGAGCAGACACAGTCCAACATAGCTCCTTTCTGATTTAACTATAATCAATGGAGCATTCATAAGGTCACCAAAATTGTGCTCAAACCAATGAAGGGGAACATACCATAACAATAACAATCAAAAAACAAAATACTGCAGATGCTGGAAATCTGAAACAAAATCTCTTCCATCTCTGTTAGCCCTTAGAAGCCTCTCCCTACCAACATGTCTCAGTTCTGATGAAGGGTCGTGGACCCAAAACACTGACTCACTTTCCTTTCTACATAGATGCTGCCTGACCTGCTGAGTGTTCCCAGCGACTTCTGTTTTTATAACAATATTAAACTTTTTGCAATTGATATAGCACCTTATCACATCTTTGAGACATCTCAAAGAATATACTGCAAAAATGATTGTATATTTTGTGGGTGAAATACAGCAGCCAATTGTGTGCAGCAGCATCCTACAAACAGTCGTGGATTGAGTGGTCAGTTTATTATTTAAAGGGATTATTACCCTCAGAAAGCGAACTGCCAATTGACTAACAACTGGTTTCCCACTTACTGCTAGGCAAACAGAGGCGAGTGAACTAAGGAAACTTGCCCAAAGTTTCGCTCCACCTGGGAATCAAACCCAGGTCTCTCACTTGTGAGGCGAGTGCTCTAACCAGTATGCTACACAACTCCGAATTGTCAGTTTTCTGCTGTGGTAATTTTCCACATTTATGCGGATGACACCCTACTCTACCTCTCTGCCTCCACCCTGAATTCCAGGACCACTGGCGTCCTGACCGACTGCCTGTCCCACCTCAAGTCCTGGACGGGGGCCAACTTTCCCCAACTCAACGTCAGCAAGACCGAGGCCCTCGTGATTGGTTCACGCCAGCACCTCCGGCACTGGTAGCATCAACCTCCACGGCTGCACACTCAACCTCACTGAGCCAGTCAGGAACCTGGGGGTCTTGTTTGACCCTGAACTGTCCCTTCTCCCCCACATCCGCGCCATGACTGGCACTGCCTACCACCACCTCCGCAACACTGCCAGACTCCGCCACTGCCTCACCCCTCAGGCCCCCAAACCCTCACTCACGCATTTGTCACCTCAAGACTTGATTACGGAGACTCCCTCCTCATCGGCCTTCCCAACTCTTCCCTTCACAAGCTGCAGATCATCCAAAACTCTGCAGCTCGTGTACTCTCACACACCAGCTCCGTGACCACATCATTCCCACCCTCACCCGACTCCACTGGCTCCCCATCCCCCAGAGGATCGAGTTCAAGATCTTCATCCTCACCTTTAAGGCCATGCATGGCCTCGCCCCCTCCTACCTCTCTGACCTGCTGACTCCCTACCAACCTGCCCACTCCCTCTGTTCATCGGGCTCCAGCCTGCTCCATGTCTCCCGCCCAACCCACCCTACCATTGGTGGCCGGGCTTTCAGCCTCTCTGCCCCCACACTCTGGAACTCCATCTCACTGTCCCTTCGCCTCGCTTCCTCTCTTGCCTCCTTTATAATAATAATCCTTGCATTTGATATAGCGCTTTTCACGTCGGGAGGACGTCCCAAAGCGCTTCACAGAACACACTGTAAAGTGAATTGACCGTATATTTGTGGGCGAACGCGGCAGCCAATTGCGCACAGCAATGTCCCACAAACAGTCATGGATTGAAAATGACTAATTTATCATTGTTTTGTTATTATTAGGCGTATGGAGTAAGGAAACTTGCCCACGGTTTCGCCCTCTGCCTGGAATTGAACTCAGGTCTCTCACTTGCAAAGCGAGTGCTCTAACCACTGAGCTACAGGACTTCACACTCCTTCAAAGCCAGTCTCAAGACCCTTCCCTTCAACCGTGCCTTTGGTCTCCCTCCCACCTTCATAGCCTTCCCTCACTTCTACACCCCCCTCCCCCATGCTCGGGTCCTGACTGTTCAATGCTTTGGGATGTCCTCCCGACGTGAAAGGCGCTCTATAGATGTCATTTTGCTGTTGTTGAAAGCTGCATATGTATGGATATTAAGTGAGGACAGGCTATGATTGCCCTGCCCACCACACTCTGTGTGTTCTCAAAACAAATGACTCACATTTTGGACCTGCACTCGAGCACTGCTACACCCTACACGCACCATCTCAGTGAAAAATTCAGATATATAGCAACAACAAAATTACATCTATAGAATGCCTCTCACATCGTCTCAAGACGCTCGAAATAATTGGAGACTTGGAGCTGCTTTGAAAGGAGGATTACAGGCAGAACTATTAGAGGTGAGGGGAGAGTGCCACAGTTAACATGAGCATTCCTGGATCAAAGATTGGAAAACTATTCCTTGTTCAGTCATGCCAGCAGAGAGCATACACGTAGGTCAGGGAAAACAGGGTCCTGTGTGGTGATATTGCTCCTCCACAGGTTACAGATCCTGCCCATGCTCCAGTCTCTAGGCTCCCACAACAAACTGTCCCAGTTATTAGTGGCCACACACACAAGCCGTTCCCCCATCCTCGATCTGAACAGTTTATTTTGTGAAAAAGATATTGATCAAAGCTCAACCTCACCCTCTGGTGTCAAATAATTCACACTGCAACTGACAGGCTTCACGTTCCCATTGGTTAATATCGCAGTTTCTCTCCAACTGAGCAGCGGGATTATAATAATAATAATCCTTACATTTGATACAGCACCTTACCATGTCGAGACATCTCAAAGCGCTTCACAGAATTTATTGTAAAGTGAATTCACTGTATTTTGTGGAGGAATTCACTGTATTTTGTGCAGCCAATTGCACACAGCAGCATCCCACAAACAGTTGTGGATTGAGTGACAGAATTATGTATTATTTACAAATTATGTAATTTTTTTTAAAGGATTACCCCTAGAAAAGTGATCTGCCACAATTGGGTTCCTTCTTACTGCTAGGTAAACAGGCGTGTGGAGTAAGGAAACTTGCCCAATGTTTTGCTCTGCCCAGGAATCAAATCCAGGTCCTCTCACGTGCGAGATGAGCGCTCTATAACCACTGAGCTACAGGACTCTATGGCTTTTACCTGCACCAAATGGTTCATTCACCCACCTGGCCATCAGGTGGACCAGAGAACCCTGACCAGTCAGCCATTAGGATTCTGTGTGCACGTGTGTATATCTGTATCTGTATGTGTGTGCACGTGTGTCTGTATGTGTGCGCGTCTCTCTGTATGTGTACACGTGTGTTTGTCTGTGTGTGCATGTGTTATGTGTGTGACTGTCTCAAATGAACAGAGCAGCTCAATCTAAAATAAACGCCACCCACAGTAAGCAAAAAAAACAAATCTAGAAATAACAAGACACTTTATTGTATAAACTGTTAAAAAATACTGTAGAGACTTTTGCACAATAACCTACACTCGGTCACTGTGTCCCATTGAGTATTTCACCTCTGAACTGACGTGTGTCAGTGTGAGCCAGTGTTTTCACGAGGACACAAGCAAAGTGCACGGCTGAGAGCAGCCAAGGCTCTGGGTATCCAGCGTTGATCCCTGTCCACTGGCTAAACCATGTCCCCGGCACAGAGTACGGTCACCACCAACCATTAAAAATCTCTATGGGAATCTGAAAACACAAAACATCAGCAATTTTACAAACCCAAAAATGATTTTTTTCATCTCAACGGTATTTTTCTACTTCTAGGACTCCATTATTCTCTTTATTACACTGTGCTCTCTCTCTCTCTCTCTAACTGCCCACTTCATCTGATAGGACAGGTGGCAATCTACCACCATTCTGTAACAAGCCCCAGAGGTACACAGCCCAACAGGGTTTACCCGGGTTGTTACTGGTGGACAGCACTCGGCATTGTGCTGCCTTAAGACTGAATATTAATAATGCTTGAATTTAATATACCACCTTATTACATCTTCAAGATGTCTGAAAGCGCTTCACAGAATATATTGTAAAGTGTAGTGACTGTATATTTTACAGGTAAAACATAGCAGCCAATTGCACAGCAGTGTCCCACAAACAGTCATGGATTCACTGACCAAATTACTATTTTTTTTAAAAAAGGGATTTAAGGGAGGCATGTGGAGTAAAGAAACTGCACCAACATTTCACCTGCCAGGAATCAAACCCAGGTCCTCTCACTTGTGAGACAAGCGCTCTAACCATTGAGGTAGAGGAATCACGTTGAGTGTTATGACGGTATTGTACATGGTTATTGGTGGTTGATGTTCAGTATATTGCTGACACTGTAATGCGACTGGGCTGTGCGCTCAGTGACGTGCCCTGTCACACCTACCGCTCTGCTCCAGGAGAACACCTTTTCGCGAATGTTCCATCTTCTTCAAGAACTCATCAAAGATCCTCACTGGCTCTGCCAGGCTGGTTTTCTTATAATCTAAACAAGGAGAAATTAATATAGAATGAAATACTACATCTAGTGTACCTCGTCCAGACTAGATGCAACTAACTCCCTCCTCTCCCCTGCCGCCATTCACTATCGGGTAAAATTGAGAGAAACACCTCTGGAGCGACGCTTCGATTCAGGCTCGCTCTCTTTGCTGGTCACATCCTCCTCCTCAGGTTTCTTATTTGAATCAAGTTCCCGGCAGATGGAGCTGAAAGGGAACAGAGCTACTATTCACTGTGGCACCTCACCAAATGAAAACATGTGAAGCATTCAGTCACACAGGAGCTACTTTAAGAGCAGTTACTTGTGTAGACAAACACGGCAACTAGTGTACCCAGCAGGAGAGGGTGAGAAAAACAGGCAATAAAGCGTCTGGATGGAGGGGGGAAAAAGATCTGGATCTTGACACAGAATCAGTGGCGTTTATAGCACAAAACCACTGACTGGAACCGTTCCCTCCTGCTCATTCCCCACAGCCTGGGTGCCCACTCTACCTTAGAAGTCAGATTTCATTTTATATTTATTAATCTTCCTCATTGAGCATCTTATCTGATTACCTTTTAAGAGAAATGATGGCCTCTGCTTCACATAGGCTTGCGGCAGAGAATTTTGCCCCCGGGTTGCCAACACTTGAGAACTTTGATGTGAAATTCTGAGGCTGAGACCAATATAACAATAATAAACAAACATACATACTCAGAATCTCACTACCTGCACATTTACTCGTAACATTCAGCACCACTTGGCCGGACAGCAAACTCCCAGGGGCTGCGATTCACACACAAACTGGGCTGACAGTTAGCGCGGTGGCCAATAGGTGGCAGCGCGGTTCTCAATGGGCTTTGTGGCATTGAGTTGTAAATGGGGTCAGAGCAGACACCAGCCCCGACACTGAAGCACTCACTCTTCCGTGTCTGATCTGCTACACAACCCACAGATGATCCTTTAAGCCAGGATGGTCCAACCTTTTGGCTGCTGATGGCCCTATTTGTGAAATGTCTGCAGGCCACATAAGCAATATTTGTTTTTCTCTTCCGGAAACACATTTAGGGGTTCTTGAGGGAGCGGGATAGGCCGGATGAAATGGAGGGGGGAGGTGAAATCAGTCCTCGGGCCGCTGCTTGGACCATCCTGCCTAGGTCAGGCCATGTGTTATGCATTTTAAATGCCTCCAAGACATCTCTGGTCTCCCAACATTGAGCAATGCACCTGTGGACAGTTTACTGTTATATAACAAAATGACATGTGTATGTAACGCCTTTCACATCAGGAGGACGTCCCAAGGCGCTGGATAGTCAATGTTTCGGACCCGAGCTGGGGATCGGAATGGGGGAGGGTGGAGGCAGGAGGGGGATCGAAGGTACGGTTAGTCGAAGAGGAGTGTCTTGAGACAGGCTTTGAAGGAGGCAAGGAAGGGGGGTGAGGCGGAGGTACTGCAGGTCAATCCTACCTTAACGTAGGCACACTGAAAGGATCAAATGAATCCAGCGTTTTCAGATCTATCGGTACAGAGATGCGTCCTGAAATGGCGAGAAAAGCATGAGTGTGGGGGAGGAGGCGGGGGCTAAGTGCAGTCAGTGATCAGCATCAGAAAAGTCCTGACACAGGAGAGTGACTGAGGTTCATGATCTGCTGTGCAGTGACTGACATGAACACTGACCGTGTACCATAATGTTGCAGCACATTTTCATTTGCAAGGATCAGCTGGTAGCGTCATGGGGGGAGGGGGGAATATCCAATAGCAGGGCCAAGCACACACAGTACCTTTTATTGGTTATCTACAAAGTGATCACAGTCAGGGGCTCTGTGAGCAGCTCTGTTGTCTGTGTGATCGATGGGAATCGTGCACAATACAGACACTGTTTGTGAGATGATAATAATAATCTCTGCATTTGATATAGCGCTGTATCAGGTCTTCGAAATGTCTCAATGCACTTCATAGAATATACTGCAAAGTAAATTGACTGTACATTTGTGAGCAAAACGCAGCAGCCACAGCAGCGTCCCACAAACGTCGTGGATTGAGTGACTTATCTTTTGCTGGGATTATTATCCCCGGAAAGTGATCTGCCAATCAACCAACAACTCGGTTCCTACTTACCGCTGGTAATCAGAGGCGTGTGGAGAAGGAAACTTGCCTAAGGGAATCGAACCCAGGTCCTCTCGCTTGCGAGACGAGCACTCTTAAGCAATTCGTTACAGGATTCCACGATACACTCATGCACACACACAGGCACGTACGTACCTGTCTTGGGATGCACACAGAAGGGGCTCTTCAGCAAGTGGTTTAGACCTTTACTGACGTTCACATCCAGCCGAGGGTAGCAGTATTGGAGCATAATCTCTTCTGCTGTGAAGATGGCTTTGGTGGTTTTCTGAAAACAGTTTTCCCTCAAGAAATGATTGTGCTGACTTAACAAACGACAAGTAACAAAAGTTGCCCTTTGCCCACTCTCCAATTGCCATAATATGGAAATATTGACAAGTGACAAGTTACATCTTTAAGACTAAATACAATACAAAATTACATTCATATATCGCCCTTCATATCGGGAGGATGTCCCAAGACGCTGGACAGTCAGGGATTTGGACCCAAGCGGTTTGGGGTAAGGGAGTAGGGCGGGTGGCTGAAAGCATGGTCGAAGAGGAGTCTCGAGAAATGCCTTGAAGGAGGCAAGGAAGCGAGGCGAAGGGAATGTGGGATGGAGTTCCAAATCTCTTCAGATGAGTCCTGTTTGTGCTGAGTTGGTTGATCTCAGTCAGGGTACAATTTGGGTGCTATAGTTGGCCACTGTGACACTGGGTTAGAAAAGGAGAAAAACCTACATTGTATTTATAATAATAATAATAATCCTTGCATTTTATATAGCGCTTTTCACGTCGGGAGGATGTCCCAAAGCGCTTCACGAAACACACTGTAAAGTGAATTGACTGTATATTTGTGGACGAACGCGGCAGCTAATTGGGCACAGCAATGTCCCACGAACAGTCATAGATTGAAAATGACCAATTTATTATTGTTTTTGTTTTGGAGGATTATTAGGCTCTGTGTGGAGTAAGGAAACTTGCCCAAGGTTTCGCCCTCTGCCTGGAATTGAACTCAGGTCTTTCGCTTGCAAAGCGAGTGCTCTAACCACTGAGCTATTTCAGTGCTCTGTGATGCTCTCCTGTGTGAATGGCACTTTATAAAGAAAGTACTAGTTGTGGTGGTTGTTGTGCACCTAAAGATTTATTTTTCTCCAAGGATTTTTGTCTGATCAACTGTATTGATTGAGCAACTACTTACAACGCTCTGCTTCAGCATGTCCCAGCGTTTGTCTGAATTCCGTGCATTGATGAATTCTGTTTGCAGATTCTCTCGAATCTGTGTCCTGTTGTTAAAGAACATGTTCTTTCCATGACTGTGAATTACATACAGACTAACAAAGAGATGACTCCCAGACTTGTGGAGATACTCAAACTGAAGAGGGGGGAAAAAAAGATCTATAATATGATAATCTATTTTGTTGACCTCAATTCCCCTGTCCCCCACACTGCAGGAGAAAGGGAGGCAAATAATACTACTAATCCTTGCATTTGATACAGTACCTTATCACGTCTTCGATATTTCTCTAAGCGCTTCACAGAATATACTGTAAATTGACTATACATTTTGTGGGCGCAACGTGGCAGCTAACTGCACACATCAGTGTCCCACAAACAGTCATGGATTGAAGTGACCAATTTATTATTATTATTATTTTTGAAGGAATTATTACCCCCGGAAAAGCGATCTGCCAATCAACTAACAACCAGTTCCTCCTTACTGCAAGGTAAACAGTGACGTGTGGAGTAAGGAAACTTCCCCAATATTTTGCCCTGCCGGGAATAGAACCCAGATCTCAAATTTGCGAGGCGAGTGCTCTAACCACTGAGCTACAGGAATCCACAACGGAACAGTTCCACAAAGTGAGGTCCTGTGGCTGAAAGTTCAGTCTTCAATGTTGAGCACAAAAACTGGAAAACAAGCAGTCAGTAGAGAAGGTGGGTGAGAAAACAGGGTGCAGTTAGGCCAGGGAAAGATCAACAACAATTTGGATTAATATAGTGCCCCTCATGCAGAGTAGGGTCCCATCCTGACTACGATGTGTTGAAGATCAGACATTTCAGGGACAGTGTTGTTAGATGAGTTTCGAGACAGGATCTCGGGCCACAGATTTCCAGGTTAGTTAATGCCTGGGAAACATTTTGCCAATAAAGGATATCTTCAGGGACCATTGCCAGGACTTTCTCCCAGGCTTCTTTACTGCCAAGGATGTCTTGATTTTCCAGAGCGTATTCTCGAAAGTAACGCTTTACCAGAACGATGGCTTTTCTGTACATGGAAAAAAGTTAAACTGAAATAGCAACTCGCCACCAATCAACTGTTAACAATACCTTCCAAAGAGCTTGCCTCGCACACAATAAACATGCACATTTATATAGCGCCTTTCATGTTGGGAGGACATCGCAAAGCACTTGGAGGTTAGAATGTAGGGCAAGCTTTGCGATTGGTCAGATAAACTAATGGTCTTTTTCGGGCCAAGTATGTTCTTGTAACCAAGGGAGGAAATGGTCTTATCTCCTATGCAGATCTATTCTCCTCCAGGTAACCACAGACAGAATTATTCACTCACTCAATTGAGGGATGAATGGGGTGCGTCAAGTGCACTTTCTTGATTGTGTCTTCTCCACCCTGCAAATCAGCCAATGAGATACAGTCTGGTTAAATTTCACAGTGCAATAATATTAATAATCCTTGTATTTGATATAGTGCCTCATCACGTCTTCGAGACGTCTCAAAGCACTTCACAGGATATACTGTAAAGTGAGATGACTGTGTATTTTATGGGCAAAACGCAGCAGCCAATTGTGCACAGCAGCGTCCCCACAAACAGTCATGGATTGAGCGACCAAATCATTACATTTTTTTTGAAGGGATTATTATCCCCGGAAAAGCGATCCACCAATCGATTAACAATCGGGTTTCTATTTACTGCTAGATAAACAACAACAAATTACATTTGTATAGCGCCTTTCACGTCAGGAGGACACCCCAAGGTTCTGAACAGTCAGGGATCCGCACCCGAGCTGCTGGATGGGATCAGAAGGGTTGGAGGGTGGGGAGGGTAGGGGTAGGATGACTGAAGGCACGGTCGAAGAGGGTCTTGAGACGGTTCTTGAAGGAGGCAAGGGAAGGGCGAGGTGAAGGAACTGTAGGATGGAGTTTCAGATGGTGGGGATAGACTGGCTGAAGGCTAGCGGGATGGGGTGGGCAAGGACATGAAGCAGGTTGGAGCCCACTGCATGGATGGAGCGGATAGGTTGGTAATGGGTTAGGAGATTGCAGAGGTAGGGGGGAGCAAGGCTGTGGAGGGCTATGAAGGCGAGGACCAGGATCTTGAACTGTATCCTCTTGAGTGATGGGAAGCCAGTGGAGTCAGGCGAGGAGGAGGCAATAGGGTCACGGAGCCTGATGTGGGAGAGAACACGAGCTGCAGAGTTTTGGATGATCTGCAGCCTGTAGAAGGAAGAGCCAGGGAGGCCGACAAGCAGGGAGCTTGCGTAGTTGAACCTGGATGTTATGAGTACGTGGATGAGGGTCTCGGTGGCCTGCGGTACAAGACAGTGGCAGAGCCGGGCAATGATGCGAAGATGGGGAAAGGCGGAGCGGGTCATGGCATGGATGTGCAAGATGAAGTACAGTTGAGGGCGAAACAGGACGCTGAGGTTCCGTATTGGCTCTGTGAGGCGTGTGGAGTAAGGAAACTTGCCCAACGTTTCACCCTGTCAGGGGCTCTAACCACTGAGCTACAGGACTCCACAAGTATGGAACATCTGAAAGGGTGACTTTATTCCTGTAAAAGTATCAATCCACCAGCACTGACCTTCACCACACTCAAATACTCGGCGACAGCAGACCGTGCTGTCTGCGAAAGCTTGCGTGCAATGTCATCACAGACCCAACAATGGACACCTCTTCTCCCAGAATACACCCATAGGCGGTGCTCAAAGCCAAAGTCCTCTGTCCACAGGAAATTAATAATACGTCGACATATTAATGAACATTAATAATAATTCCCTAAAAAAACAATAGTAAGTTGGTCACTCAATCCACGACTTTTTGTGGGACTCTGCTGTGCGCAATTGGCTGCTGCGCTTCGCCCACAAATATACAGTCAATTCATTTTACAGTATATTCTGTGAAGCGCTTTGAGACGTCTCAAATATGTGAAAAGTGCTATTTCAAAATGCAAGAATTATTATTATAATAATATCTGCAGTGTTAAACACACCCACGACTGAATTTCTATTAGATAGCACTAATCACTTCTTGTTTCCAAGCTGGATTAGACAAGACAGCCAACTGAAAGATGAGGCACATATCCTGGGCCTTAACTTGCCACATCCTTTATTTATATAAAGCAAAGTACTCTTACCCTCAAGAGCTCTGTCCAACACCCTGATAGCAATGGTCATCAGTGTCCAGCACTTGTGACAAATGTCTGCAGCCCTGAAGAGAAGGGCAAAATATTAGCAACATGGCCAAGAGTGCGGGGGGGAGAATGGTGGGGAATTCACATCAAGGGACTCCAAACACTTCAAAACAAGAGCAATAGGGAATAGGAGGAGGCTATTCAGAGCATCAATCTCAACTGTCACTCACTCGATTACTGAAGGGACAAAGCAAGCAACTCTAGGTCTGGGAGTTTAACATCAACAACTTGCAGCATCTCGGAGGGCTTCGAGCTCCTAGTCAGTTAGCATTAGTGCTGCTCAAATGACTAGAATCCATCATCAAGGACAGAATAACTGAGCATCCGGACAACTCTGCACAGATCAGAGAGTCAGCGTGGGCTTGTGAAAGGCAGATCAGGTTACCTTGACCTGGACAAGCACACTCCTCATAGCCCATTGGGGACGTCCTCCCAAAGTGTAAGTTGCTGAACAAATGTCATTTGTTGTTGTCACAACTGTGCGTGAAATACACCGAGTTTGTACCAAATGGACAGTAACAAACCTGCAGCAATTTCGAACGTCGTCATAGTCGGTCATATCGATGTCAAACACTAGCTCCTTCTCCAAGGCCTGGAAGTTTCCTGCCTTCACCGAATTATGCTGGTTCGGCTAGGAGAAAAACATTTGGAAATCACAGGCCTTTAGCACCAAACCTTTCCCAGGCAACCGGAAAGCTCACCAGTAACACCACAAGCGGTTCTCGACCAGAACAAACAAAACAATTGCTTCAAAGTGGATTGGAAGCCTGCTTGCTGTCAGGTACAGTGACTGTTTTTTCAGGGCCCTGACCCATTCCCCTTCCAAAAAACAAACATTACACCTGACAGCAAGTCCCGTGGAACGCTTCAGAGATGTCTCAATATCAAATTCCAGGCTCATTATATCTAAATGGACTAATCCCTTTTGTTTCAATACATTATTAGAATATATATTATGATAACAATATGGACTGTATATTTTGCATTTCATCCACAACGTAATAACAATAATAATCCTTGCATTTGACAGAGTGCTTTATCACATCTTCGAGACATCTCAAAGCACTTCACAGAATATACTTTTTCGCCCATATCTTTTGTGGGCGAAAGAAAATATACAGTCAATCCACTTTACAGTACAACCTGTGAAACGCTTTGAGTTGTCCCAAAGACGTGATAAGGCACTATATGAAATGCAAGGATTATTATTATCCCTTGTGCCATCCTTCCTCTGGTGAGAGTTGCTGAGGCGGAAGGAAGGGAAGGTACCTTGTGTGAATAGACAGCTCCGATGTCGATTTTATAGGGCACCAGCTTCTGCATCTCCTTTTCCAGCTCCTGCTGGTTGGTGAAGGACTGGTATCGCAGGTAGATGTCATCCCGCAGCGTGAAGGAGAACTCTCGGTTCTGGAAATAAGCCTTCCTCACTGTGAGTGAAAGACAAGTCAGCCATGGTGTGTGTGTGTGTTACATGTGGAGTCCTACAGTTCAGGGGTTAATGCACTCGCCTCGCAGGTGAGATGACCTGGGTGTGATTTCTGGGCAGGGCGAAACCTTAAGCAAGTTTTCAATCATAGAATCATACAGCACAGAAGAAGGTCATCCGTGCCAGCTCTTTGAAAAGAGCTTCCAATTCAACCCCACACCCCGCTCTCTCCCCATCGCCCTGATCAACCCACTCCCTCGCTCTCTCCTCATAACCCCGATCAACCCCACTCCCCTTCTCCCTCCCCATAGCCCTGATCAACCCCACTCCCCCACCGCTCTCTCCCCATAGCCCTGATCAACCCCACTCCCCCGCTCTCTCCCCATAGCCCTGATCAACCCCACTCCCCCGCTCTCTCCCCATAGCCCTGATCAACCCCACTCCCCCGCTCTCTCCCCATAGCCCTGATCAACCCCACTCCCCCGCTCTCTCCCCATAGCCCTGATCAACCCCACTCCCCCACCGCTCTCTCCCCATAGCCCTGATCAACCCCACTCCCCCGCCTCTCCCCATAGTGCTGCAAACTTGTCCTCCCCAAATAATTATCTACTTCTCTCTTAAAAGCTGTTATTGAAAGTTGTTTTCTGACTTGAGGCGAGTGTGCAGCGGTGTCTCCCGAGGTCAGTATTGGGACCTGAAGCCAATTCAATAACAACCTTTATTGCCCCCTCTTCCTCTCTCTCCCCTTTTTCAACTCCCGCCTGAAAACCTTCTTGTTCGACCCCCTCCCCCCACCCCCGCTCGGAGTCAGGCTCCGCCGCTGTTAAGCTCTGAGACGCCGCCCTGTGTGGAGGGCGCTGGATAAGTCCAAATTGTTGCTGTTTCTTTATACAACTATTTTAAGTCGGTGTCCTCGGGTCACTGACTCGCCGGCCAGTGGGAATAGTTTCTCCTTGCTCATCCTATTGAATCCCCTCATAATTTTGAGAATAATCCTAATCCTAATCCCAGCCTCTCTAGGCCTCTCCTGATCACTGAAGCCCCTCATTCCTGTTGAATCCCCTCAGCGCCGGCCGTCCCCAGGGCCTGAGTTTCCTGACTCCATGCGGGGCTTCCCGGCCACCGGGGGCCGAAGCCTCATCTCTTACCTCCACCGTAGTTGAGCCACCGGAAGTATTGCGGGTACGGGAAAAGCCGCCGGTAATACACGGGCAGCAAATCCGGCAGCACAGCCGCTTCGTCTCCCGCTCCCGCCATTCCAACTGCCCAACCGCCACAGCGCGCGCCACCGGGCATGCCGGGAGTGAGGGCACAGCAAACCGCCCCGCCACCGGGCATGCCGGGAGTCAGGGCACACCAAACCCCCACCCACCACCCCTATGCATGCCGGGAGTGAGGGCACAGCAACCCCCACCAACCACCACCGGGCATGGTGGGAGTGAGGACGCCAGAGTGCATGCTGGGAGGGCACTATGAGTCCTGCAGCTCAGTGGTGAGAGCACTCGCTTTGCAAGTGAGAGACCTGAGTTCAATTCCAGGCAGAGGGCGAAACCTCGGGCAAGTTTCCTTACTCCACACAGAGCCTAATAATAATCCCTCCAAAACCAAAACAATAATAAATTGGTCATTTTCAATCTACGACTGTTTGTGGGACATTGCTGTGCGCAATTGGCTGCCGCGTTCGCCCACAAATATACAGTCAATTCACTTTACAGTGTGTGAAGGTTTTGAGACGTCGAGAATAAGTGAAAAGCACTATATCAAATGCAAAGATTATTATACACACACACACACTGGGCAATGCTGGGAGCGTGGGCACTCTGAGCTAAGCGTGCTGCGCGCTGTCTCAGTCTCGCCTGAGCTGGACTCAAATTTACCTGGAAATCTGAGATATAAACAGAAGTGTCTGGGAACGCTCCGCGGGTCAGGCGGCTCCTACAGAGTTAAAATGACTTCACATTACCTGACCTGCTGCGTGTTCCCAGCGACTTCTGTCCATGTTCTAATAAACTTGTTGTTTAGAAAAAAAATCCCTAAAATCTGTTTTATTTACAGTAAACTGGTGAGGGAAGCAATGCTTGAAGCTGACAGGAGTCAGCTTTGCCCTGGCTGAGATGCGCTCACTCACCACAGCTTAGCGATCGAGTCCGAGACCTGCCATCTCTGCCTGTGTGTGACTCATTCCCTTAAGCACGACAATGGGATTCCGCACGTCAGTCACACGTCTGACCAAAAGAAAGTTTCATTCCCACGAGAACAGCTGCTTTACTAAAACTGAATCACGGAGAAGCCATTGACAGTAACATGCCTTGTGCCCTCTTCAGGCAGACATTAAAAGATCTCACGGCACTTGTCAAAAAGAGAAGGGAGTTTCCCTCTCCTGGTGTCCCAGCCGACAATCTCCCAGAGAAAAATGAATCATTCGGGTCATGGCTGTTTGCGGAGAGTTGCCGTACGCAATTTGGCTGCCCCGGTGGTCCACAAAACACAGTCACTACACTTCACAGTAATTATGGTGATCGCCTTTGAGACATTTGGTTTAATAAGGCATTGTATTGAATGCAAGGATTATGATTCCTTTCTAAATTCTTAATGTTGTTTACAGACTCTGATCGAAAGAGAAAGAAAACAGGCAGCGGCTGACACTTTTAGGTACTTTATTAAGATCTTTATAAAAGGATAAATCCATATAAGCAAAGAACTAGTTGTCACTGGATTCCGTCTACAAAATAAACAGAAAATGTTGCTGTATTAAACAACAAATTACATTTTTATAGCGCCTTTCATGTCAGGAGGACGTCTTGAGGAGCCCAAATTCTAAACGTAGAACATTCATCAAAATGCAACAAAGAGAACAGAAAATAATGGTCTGTAGGACGATTGTGGTGCCAATATAAACACACGATTACAACAAACCAATGTAACTTCCCTTCTTTCCCCCCTTAATCAGTCTCACGACCCACTCACCATTGAGACCAGATGCTCACAATAACTGAGCTGACAACCTCAGTTTTGCTCCAAATCAGTTAATCAGCGGACGGGCCTGCAAGCCCTCCCTCTCTTCAGATATTTAAGCATTCCAAAACACTGCCCCACGTGAGGGGCTCCATAGATTGATGTTGTTATTCACACATCATTGATGTCAAAAAACCTCCAAGCAAACTCCAACCCTGAACATAGTCAACTGACTGCTAACCTGGGATCAATAACTCAATTACCAGCGCCCAAGCTCTTAATAACCAAACACGAGTTTGAAGTGCAACAGAAATCCTTTTCTGAAAAGATAGAAAAACCCTCCTCATCCCACCCCACTGTGCGGTGCCAATCCTTAACCTGTCCAATGCCTTGGGACGTCCTCCCGACGTGAAAGGCGCTGTGTAAATGTCATGATTTGCTTCTGCTTGTGATTGTTTTTCTAACTCACAGGTTTGCTTCTTTGTTTTCCAGCTAAAGTGCTGAACTGTGCAATTTCACGTTCTAGTGCTGCGATTTCTGCATCTTTCTCCTTCAGGCTAAAGGAAACAGAATGGTGGTTTGTGCATTTTACAGTCGTAATCATAGGAACAGGAGGAGGCCATTCAGCCCTCCAGCTTGTTCCACCATTCTATAAGATCATGGCTGATCTGTACCTCAACTCCAATTACCCACCTTTGCCCCGTATCCCCTTATCTGCAGTCTGGATAATGTGAATGGATCCAGCCATAATCCACAGCCGTTTGAGGGAGGGAGAGCATTCCAGATTCCCACAATCAATTGCTGGCCCCGGCTGATTAAAACAAAGGCAATAACCACAGCCCCAAACCTCAGTCTCTCCCTCCCCCTCTCTGTATCCACCTTTAAATCCCAGCTGAAGACTGAGCTCTCCGACTGAGCCTATGGTCATCTCCCCGTCTTCCGTGGGGTTGGGAACGTGCTGGGGCCCTGCCGGCGGGAACCTCACACCCTCCAACCTCAGCCACGCCGGTGGTAACCCTGGGCAACAAGCAGCCATCCCAGAGCGAGCGGAGTGACAGACACCAGTTTAGAGCACAGGGTTTATTTCCTGTCTGGTCACAAAACCCAGGCCCAGTATCAGCTTGGTTTGGAGACTCTTAAGCACATGTGATGAGTGTGAGACCCAGAAAACCGGAGTACAATTCCATTTCCATTTACACACGGCCTTTGGGGACGTTCTCTCTGTGGGGAGAACGTCTCAAATTACTCAACTCTGCTGATTGGCTCCCAAACTGAGCAGAGTTTACCCGACGTCTCTGGTATCATTGCAGAATGGAAACCACCTGAGAAACTGTTCAGTGGATAATTATCACAGTGATCGTGTTGTGTTTGTAGTGAGGGAAGCTGTGCACACACACACGCGCACAGACACACACGCACAGACAACAACAACTTGGATTTATATAGCCCACTCCACACCGGACGGCGTCTCAGAGCGCTTTACAGTTTCGGATCCCGGGACCGAGCCAGGGGGAGGAGCCATGGGAGGGGGAGGAGCTGGGGAAGGGGCGGAGCCACGTGAGGGGGAGGAGCTGGGAGGGGGCATGGGAGGGGGAGGAGCTGGGGAAGGGGAGGGGCTATGGGAGGGGGAGGAGCTGGGGAGGGAGAGGAGCCAGTGGAGGGGGAGGAGCTGGGGGAGGGGGAGGAGCTGGGGGAGGGGAGGAGCTGGGGGAGGCGGAGGGGAGGGGGGAAGGTGACCAAAGGTGCGGTCGAAAAGAAAGGTCTTCAGCAGAGACCTGAAAATGGGAAGGGAGGGAGTGAGACGAAGGGAGTGAGGAAGGCAGTTCCAGAGCCTCGGGGCACAGTGGCTGAAGGCACAGCCTCCGAGGGTGGAGTGGAGGCCTCGGGGGACGAGGAGGAGGCCAGACCCAGAGGAACAAAGGCAAGTGGCTGAAGGCTCTCCCGCCAAGTGTGGGGCGGGTGGGTCGGGGGATGTGGAGCAGCCGGAGCGGCTGAGCGGAGGGAGCGCGCAGATTGGTAGGGGTTTAGGAGGTCACAGAGGTAGGGTGGGGCGAGGCCATGGAGGGCTTTGTAGGTGAGGACCAGGATCTTGAACTGGATCCTCTGAAGGATAGGGAACCAATGGAGTCGGGTGAGAGTGGGGGAGATGGGGTCACGGAGTTTGGTGCGGGAGAGGACACGGGCTGCAGAGTTAGTTCTGGATTATCTGCAGCTGTGGAGGGAGGAGTTGGGAAGGCCGACAAGCAGAGGGTTTGCATTATTGAGTCTGGAGGTGATGAAGGCGTGAACAAAAGTTTCAGAGCCTGAGGGGTGAGGTAGTGGCGGAGTTGGGTGATGTTACGGAGGTGAGGGAAGGCAGAGCGAGTCATGGCTTAAATGTGAGGGAGAAAAGACAGGTAAAGGTCGAACAAGACACTGAGGTTCCTGACTGGCGGTGAGTTGGTGAGTTGTGGTGGGCAACCATGGAGGGTGATGCTGCCAGAGCCTGAGGTGCTGAGGCGCTGGTGTGAGCCAATCAGGAGGGCCTCAGTCTTGTTTCACATTCAACTGTAGGAAATTTGCCCTCATCCAGGACTTTGCCTCGTTTCCTCCCTCGCCTCCTTCACGGTCGGTCTCAAGACCTTTCTCTTCGATCGTGCCTATGGTCTCCCTCCCACCTCTCTGCCTTCCCTCAACCCTACACCTCCCCTCCCCCATTCTCGGGCCCCGACATCTGACTGTTCAGCGGTTTGGGACGTCCTCCCGACATGAACGGCGCTCTATATTCGTCATTTTGTTGTTGTTGTTGTTGATGCCTGACAGGCAGTCTGTCAGGACTGCAGTGGTCCTGGAGTTGAGGGTGGGGGCAGACAGACAGTCTGTCAGGACTGCAGTGGCCCTGGAGTTGAGGGTGGGGGCAGAAAGATAGAGTTGGGTGTCATCCCCATATATGTGGAAGTTGACCCCATGTCTGCGGATGATGTCACCGAGGGGGACCATGTAGATATTAAAGAGGAGAGAAGGACAGAGCCCTGGGGGACGCCAGACATGACAGTGTGGGGACTGGAGGAGAAACCGGTAGAGGCAACAAAGTGGAGACAGTGAAAGAGATAGGAATCGAACCAGACAAGGGGCAGGTCCGCGAAGATTGAGTGTGGAGGAGAGGCGGTGTATGAGGATGGAGTGGTCGACAGTGTCGAAGGCGGCAGAGAGGTCGAGGAGGACAGAGAGGCAGAGGAAGCCCTGATCACAGATGGTCAGAATGTCATTAGTGACTGTGACCAGGGCCGTTTCCGTGCGCTTGTGCACGTGCACACAGACACACACAGACGCACACACAGACACACACGCCACACAGACACACACACAGACACACACGTACACACAGACACACACGCACACACAGACACACACACACACAGAGACAGACACA